GGGGGGGGGGAGTGTCACTGATTTCAGTTAATTTAATGCATACTATTGGTAAGTCACAACAAGGTTTTATATATTTTTTTTAAACCTTACTGTTCAGTGTATCATCTTCATGAATTGATGGTTGTTGAGGAGGACTGATGTTGATTTTTCCACGCATTTTTCTGCCTTGTATAGTGATGGGGAAGGTTGGTGATTTTAAAAAACATTTTCTGTCTTTTTATACATTTTAATTGATTTCCCTAGCCCGTTGTCTGCAACAGAGAACTGTGCATCTTTGCTCTTGAAACTCTGGGAGTGTCGGCTGGGGTCACCTTCATCATGAACACTCAACCTGAGGTGAGAAGTTGATTTCTTTCTTTAAGAATGATTTGTGATATGTTTTCTGTCTGGGGGCTATCTTAATCCCTCGCTTTGATGATTTTGGAGAGAGATATGAAAATGAACTGAGAAATAAATTGCAGTGTCACTTTTCAATGTGTGGGAATTTAGCTTAGAATGGTGTATAGGAGGTGCTGTCTGTGTAAAGTTCCACACGTTGCACTTTCTTAGATAATACATACATTGGTGGTATTTGCAATATCTCAGTGAAAACTTAGACCAGGCCCGCCACCTGGGAAACTGTATAAGACAAGCCCTGGCACTTGGGAAAATGTTAAGATTAGAACGACACCTGGGAAAGTGTTCAAGACCAGCTCGAACACTTGGGGGCAGAGGGTCAGGGATGATAATAATAAATAGCATTTGTACAGCACAAATTTTGGCTCAACGGCAAGCTCTTTGCACTTCATAACCTATATTATTACTGCAGCAGGTCTGATAGCATTCTGAAACAATCTCAACTTCTTGGGTAGCGTACAGTGCAAGCTGTCATTTTGCAGGCGATGAAATACTAAACATACTGATTAGATCTGTCACTATACGACAGAGTACTTATTCACGCCTGGGTGAAGTGAGGAAAATTTGTGCAAAGTGCCTTTCCCAAAAACACTAGTTTTGGCCTGAGCCTCAAACCCCTGAACTTGCAACTTTATGATTACGGGTCAGGTAGCTAAGCACAAGACGACTGAGCTGATGGACTCTGAAACCTTTGAGCCTTGACTCTATTGACCTTAGAATACCTCTGCCTTGCCTTGGAAATTTCTCATGGGTCCCAACAAATAGACCAGACAACAAATACGTTACGCACAATAACAAACTATCAGCCCAGAAACTAATCAGAGTTGCCTACAACACATCTAGAGCCAGTGAATAGTTTTTTGCACTCTCGTTTCAGCCTAGAAGGGCTTGGTTCAGGCTCACTTGGGTCGGTGACTCTCTGATAGATGAAATGGTTTATCGGGCTATGCATCGATAATGTTCCGGACCGGTCGAAGGGTTTCTAGGACTTTAAGGGTTAATAATGTCTTATGTGAATATGCGAATTGGTCATGGTCAATTGCTAGACTTTATTTCTTGTTTTATGTAGACACTCAACTGTTGATATTCATGCCAAAATATTCTTTAAAAACATTTATTCTTCTTTTCAGGTGACAAATCTTTTGATTTTATTGACCAAAGCCGCAGTGCTTTCTCCACGCCATGAGAAAATTCTGGAACCTTATCCTTCAGTTGTGAACCCACTTCGTCCCAACCAAATGGCTCTTTGTAGCAGTGTAAGTGAAAGCTTTGTGCTTAGTTGTGATTTGAAGTCAAGAATAGTGATTTGGTGTAATGGTTAAGCTGCCGTTGTTTCACGCAGAAGACTTGAGTTCTATTACTACAAGAAGAAGTCATTCTGTTAAGTGTCTTTATTTGTCTTGTGGAATGTTGTGATGTTTTATTCCACTCGGCAAGGCTTGGCTTTGACATGCAGGGTTGAAGCAGTCCACTTCCTAAATTATTAAAAAATTGTGTTGCCCTCAATTATTGTTCATTGAATGAAAATGTTGCATTTTTAAAAATCTAATTAGATGTATATTGGAAGTCCTGCTTATTTTTACCATCATTTTAAGCCTTAAGAAAACACAAAAAACTTAAACAATTATTTTGTGTGTCTTTATGCACTTGCATGCGCCTGAAATCTTATGTGGGTGATTGGAGGGTGCTTCTGATATTTTATTCTTTTCCTTCCCTTTTTTTGTTGTGTCTTTCTATTTTACTTTTTCTGTTATTGTGTATGTGCAATTCCAACTAAATATCTTCATGTATATTTGGTCCTTCTCAGAGAAAAGATCATGAAACCTTGAAGGTGGTGTTGAGGAGACTACCAAAGCTTCACCCCAAAATAGCTTCTTCAGAGGCTGATATCCGCAAGCTGCTGGATTCTCAGCATGAACTGTGTTATCCTCTAGTCAGATGGTAACATTTCTTATCTTTCAGTGTGCTGTGTGTGCATAATGTTTTATCTGTCTTAGGTTGGACTCAAGCTGACATTAATTTTAGAGGATGTCCAATGAAAGGCCAAATTGTACTTCTGTGGTAGTGGTTTTTGTATCTTTTCGCGTTTAAAAGTGGCCAATCTCATTAGTGACAGACTTTTATCTTAAGACAGATTTCTTTCTTTTGGAAATCACGGTTGAAATTGTACGATGATTTAGCAATATATGTCTCATTTTATTAACTAAAAGCTGTCTATTGGGAAGATTAATAAAATTCAGATATCTCATCTTTTGTGGCAGTAGAAGCTGCTACTCATAAGAGCCAAATTTTCTGTTCATGTTGTGAAATTTATGAAACTCAATAATCTTGGCAGCTCACAAGTCTCCTAATTTTTTCCCCCCTGAAGTAAGATAAGTATTGCTGCGTGTCTGGGAAACAGGTGTTGGGTACAGCTTCTAGACTTGTCTTATTAAGTGTTGAAGTTTGCAGCAGATCCTACTGTGTTTCTGGTGTCATTCAGAATCATTCTGATTTATAAAAAAAATATTTTTGGGATATTTGTTTTTCTTCAAAATCTTGTTCCATTTCTGTCATCATCATGGTTGTTGTCACTTGAACTCTACTGCACTGCTTCAAAAGTTCTGCCTGTATCTTTCACTTTTACTCATGGAATTAGACATTTTGTTAGGGTAAGAATTCCAGCAATTTCCAGGATTAATCTTGATGTGAGTGTCCATCTCTGTTATCCAAATGCACTATGTCTCTGTTTTACTTTAAGTAACATCCTTTACATTTCTACTAATTTTTTGTTGTAGCTTTAAGTCATTTTTTAGTGGCAGAGAAAGTGAAAACCCCCCAACTCAGAACGATCTATCATGGGTAGTGCAATTATCTGGACACTTTAAAGATTGACAAAATCTGACTTTTGCTAATCTTGTCTTAGAACTTGGTTTTTCTTTATCATTTTCTACAGGATCCTCAGCAGTAATCGATCACACATCGTCCTGTTACCACGTGACCAGGTATGCTTGGATATGCATCCACTGAATATTAGCACCTCAAGTTACTATTTTTTTGGTGTTTTTTTGTTTTGTTCACAGAATATTTTCACAGGATCTAGTACTAGTAGGCTACCCTTTAAAATACTGTCCATGTACACACAGACACACACATACAAATATATGAATGTTTCAAAACAAAATACTATTCATCCATTTTCCCAGTTTTTAAGAAAAATGAACATTTCTCCAGACCAGACCAGATCATTAATAACTTATAGAGGTACCAGCCATTCATGTCTAGGTGCTGTTTTAACCTCTTTATTGTTATTTTTCATTTTTTGTCCCTCCCCTAGCAACTCAACTGTATAAACACCCCGTACCAGTTCCTGTTGAGAAACAGCCCACCAGTTCAAGATGAGATGTTTAGAGCTAAGAAAGAAAGCCATGGCAGTGTTTTTGCCTTCCAGTATGTATTTTGAAAATTTTTTTTTGGTCAATGTTTTCCTGTGTACCAAAAGCTCTATGAATTTTAAAAAAGTAATACAAGACAATTTTACGTTTCTTTGATTTTGCAGTTTTTAGTTTAGTGTTAGTAGAGTTTTTACAGCGCTCGCAAATGCATTCGGTCATATGAGTGCCAAGGGGTGGATGTCAACAGAGAAGTCTTTACAGGGAATCGGGCTTACTCTGCTCACTTCTCTAGCTTCAACAGCACAAAGTCTGCTTCGACTATCAAGGCACCCCGGAAATAGATGGTCACGAGAGTGACAAACATACAAAAGAAATAGAGGAAAAATGACGGCAGTAAGGGTTAGGAAAGAAAAAGCAGCAGATCCCTGTTTCACTTCAGGCACAGTTATGAGCATGACATTGATGAATCAGTCCATTTACAATTCAACTATGCATAAGAACATGTTAATGTCCCCACAGTTTTGCCAAGCCTGATTTTTAAGGTCAATTTTGAGTGACCATATCTTGGGCGTCTCTTAAACTTTTGAACCCTTGCCACTGGTACTCGGGGGGGGGGGGGGGGGGGTGTAAAACACATATGGAAAACAGTGTTTACTACACTAGACATTATTGATTATTCTGAAGATCTTTCTGAATAAGATGCTGTTAGGGACAAGGACTACCCTGAGTGGAATTTGGAATGTCATCCTGGCGATCATATGAGTGTTAGTAAAATATCGCTCAGGAGCTCTGGCAGAGGGCACGGTAGCCTCAGGAGGTCAGGGCTCAAAGGGTTAACATAGATGAAATATTAACCTTGCAGATAATTGCAAAATTTATTTAGCTTTAAATTGGTATGCTGCATGAGTAGGTAGTGCAAGGCATTAATGCGGTGATTGGGTGATTACATTTTGGACATCACTGTATAATTCAATGAATGGTATTGACTTTTTTCTCTTATACTAACTTATAGTTAATTGAATGTAGAACTTAACATGTAGTGTAGTGTTTCATTCTTGTTTGGGGTGGGTTTTTTTTGTGTGGGTACTGATACTTTGACACTCTTTCAGGCTTGATGGGAATAAACAGACTTATGTTTTTAATTTTCAACTGTTGTTGTTGTTTTTCTTTTAAAGCATGTAGCCATGCCACTTCTTTTTGTCGAATGTTGTAAAAGGGCAGAATGGTGCAATGTTAGATGCCCTCATGCACTTTACTTTATCTCTGATCATTACATTCAAGTTAGAAAGAAAGAATTTCTCTAATTGTTTTCACGACTGAAAAAGTATGACATTTGTTGCTGTTTCTCTCTGTAGTGGCTCTCCACTTGAGAACTGGCATTCTATCATCAGACATGGACTTATTGTCGCTTCAGGAACAGACAAACAGGTATGAATGCTTTGGTAAAATATTGCTGACTATCTGCAGCTTCCAGGGCTCAGTAATCAGCCTGTTGTGTTATGAAATCTTGAGAATGCAGTTTTATGTGAAGAATGAGTTGGGAATGTGTGGGTTTTATAGTAAACATGATCTCTGGAGGTTTTAAACATTTCCCAAAATCTGTGTTCTGACTATTTCCTCTTAATCTTTTGATGAATTACTCATTTTTGGGTTTTACACTCACAAATATAGGGAACAATGTTTACGATTTTTATTAATACTTTTCTTGGTCTTTGCGGAAGAGAGTAGTTACCCTTTATTGTATTGTTCTTAGTGAAAAGCGACAGTGGAGGTTCCACTTTTATATCTGCTCTGTTGCCCGAAGACTGTTAATGCTTAACCCTTAAAACCCTATACCGCTGGTAACCGCTGACGCCGTATTTTCCTATACCGCTGGTAACCGCTGGTCGACTTTATCGTTTAATTCCCAGTGCTAGAAACAGGGGATGTAACTCCAGATGACTCTGTCGTGAGCAGAAAGTATCGATAATGTCATGAGAGCAGTTCTACACCGAAAGTTTGGAAATTTTGCGAGTTTTAAAGAAAAATTAGTCACTTTTCGCTCCCAGGCCCTTCAGGCCGCAAAATTTTTGACATTTTTTATCCTAACCAGACCCCAAAAATGATCTCCCAGTCGGATATATCGATAAATATGACCGTTGAAGACGATTGCAATGTTCCGCATAACATCGATGGTGATCTTGACGATAATGGAATTGGCAGGGGATCACCACTAAAGCTACCAGAGGCTAGATCTACGGCTGGGTCTAATGATACTTTGACTGAAGTGGAGTCGGGGATTACACACAAGACTTAAATCATAGAGTTGGTCCTAAAAACCAGTGTTTTAACCTTTTCCCCTTTTGTTCAGACTGTGCATTCGTATATAAATAACATTTTCACACTTCAGTAAAATCTAACAATTAAAGACACAGTAAACAAAATAATGAACCAACCTAATTTTTTCTAGTATCTCAATTTTAATTCAGGATTCTAGGGAGGTATGAAAAAAAAAAGAATTCAGGGTTTTAAGGGTTAATGAAAGTTTTCAATTGATGGTATTGATATTGTTTTTGACAGGTGCTTCTTCCAGGGTTCCCAAGGAGTCCTTGAAAACTGCTTGAATTTGCATTCAAGGACAAATCTCCTTGAAAACTCCTTGAATTTGCCTTCAAGGAAAAATCTCCTTGAAAACTCCTTGAATTTTGCCAGATCGGACAGGAACACGTGTACAGGGTGACTGCCAGGCCCCGGGAATCCCGGGGGCCCCTGGAATCCCGGGGGCCCCTGGAACTGGAATTACCCAGGAATTTGAAAAAAATTGCAGAGATCCGGAATGCAACGGGAATTTGAAGAAATCTGTAAATTGCCCCGTGAAAGACCCGCGGAAATACATAAAAGTTCTCGAATATATTTGAAAACCAAATCCGATAACGTCCTTGAGTTCATTTTTGCCGGTCGCGATTGTGATATAATATTCATTCGGCCTTTCCCCGGTCTGAGAGTACGTTACACGCGCACATGCGGTAATGGCGGCAACAAGTGGAAGTATGTGCGATACGGAGCTTGATCGGGAAAATCAAGATCTACTTTCGCTTTCATTACCGCCCAGAAATTTGCCGGTAGGGCCTAGCCTATAGTAGTCTGATAACGCCACATTTGTAACATGCAGGTTCTGCATTACAAACGCTGTGTCGCCATGAAAATAAATCGTTTGTCCTGTGCTGTCACTTGTGTGAAAAAAACAAAAGAAAAAGAAAGTTATACAAGCTTCTTGTCGGGCTCGCCATCGTGACCGGTCATTGAACCTGTGCGTTTTCATCACATCGTGAGTGTCTGCGATGGTTGAGGTCTCCAAAGTTCATGTAAAGTCTGAGCGCTGTGAAGTATAGGACTCGGGAATGGGAGGATTATTGATTTTTTTTAAAGAGTGGGGGGGGGGGGGGAGGTTGAAGGCAACACCGGATGACAATAAAACTGAACTTGGAAGTTGGTAAATCTCTTAAATCTCTCTCTGCAAAGGGTGTGTTGGTGCACAGTCCTTGTGTGGAATCGGGATCCATCATACTCAAACCGTCTAAGCCGTAATCTTTTTACTAAAAGGGTTCCCGTTTCTTTGCGTAGGTGATAGTAAATTATATGTATTGTAAATTTTAGCTTTCTGTTCAAGGTTCGCAGATTTTCGGTGTCACTGCATCTTGCCCCCCCCGACAGTTCTTACACCTCTCGCTCTGAATAAGTCTACTTGAGCCATTCATGTTATTACTCTACTTTGAGCTAGAGTAATAATTTTTGTCTTTCACGTTTATTATATAAACCTTGACACCCCAACTGGTTCTTGACAGTGGATATTCTGGTTCTAGGCCTTTTCTCAGGCTCAAAGCAAGATTCATTTTTATATAGTTTATATAATATAAGCGAATATGATGAGGGGAAAATAGAAATAAGTTAGAACAGACTGAAAAGCCTAAGTCACAGTATCCCAGTGCCACACTGACATCGTGTTGTTGACTGGATTCAATGTACCTACATGCGTGTGTGTGTATATATTATATTTAATATATAAATGGAGCAAGCACTGTCGTTGTTATGTAACATGCCCCTGGAGAATGGATGAGACCCCCCCTCCCCCCCCCCCCCCCCCCTGAAAATTGAGAAGCCGGGTTGGCAGTCACCCTGGGAACAGTTTTTCTCGGAAAATCGAAACTATTAATATGATATGATTCCTTTCGGACAAGTGTTTTTTTTAAAATAGGCTTTCGTCATGAATTTCTTGACCAAATCTCCTTGAATTTTAAAAATTTCTCCTTGAAACCTCCTTGAAAACTCCTTGAATTTTATGGGAAGTTCATGGCAGGAACCCTGTTCTTCTCAGTGATCATAGAGCCACTAACTGTCATGTCGTTTCTACTTTATTTATTCTTTTATCATAGCTTCATGGTGCAGCTCATGGGAAAGGGATTTATCTGAGTCCAAGCATCCAGCTCTCATCTTCCTACTGTGGGAATAAGGTTATAGGCATCAAGAATCTGCCCCAACAAGGTTCAACGACAAAGGGAACTCAACAAGGCTCAAAAGCAAAGGGAATAGAGAAGGTAATTTTTTTTTCTTTCTTTTTTAAAAATGTAGACTGTTCTCAGTAATGATGGAATCTTATTTTTGAAGTTTTCAAGGATTTGCTGTTAGGTATGTGTGTTTATGTGCATGTGTGTTAGCTTATGTTCATTTTTAGTATTTGGCCTTCTGTTCTTTGATTTTGTAGTGACTAAAGTGTGTTTGTTTCACATTGGCAACACAAGCTCAATACCCCTGTCCTCGAATTTTGTTCCTTTTCCAGTTTTTCTCTGTCAGATAAAAAGGCGTGCTGCTAACAGTAATCAGAGTACTTTACTATGTAACTTTGTTTTCCTCCATTCTTCATTTAGCAAGTCATTTTACTGTCATGTTTGCTCCATATATGTCTCAGTTTCTGCGAGTCACTGGCCCTCTTCCTTTACCTTTAGGAGTAATCTCCCTGTATGGATAAATGAATCTGTGTAAGGTGCATTATTTGTCCCTGAATATTTTTGTTTGTTTTTAAGTTACCAAGCTTAAAAATGAACGGTGGTCTCTGAAACATGTGTTCCTTGGGACATGATACTCTCTACTTTTTAGAAAGTGATAGCTGTTTAAGAGATTTACTGTTGTGTTGTGTTGTAAAAGCTTGAATACTGTCTCTACGCTTTTTTTTTCTCTCCCCTTCGTTTCACCCATTCTGTTTTTCATGAATGTTTTGAATTTGCGATTTGATTTGCCAAGTGTAGTGTATGTTGTCAAAAGTACTCCTAGATATACACTAGAATACAACCAACTCATATTTGAATGCAGTTGAACTTGAGTGCTGTGCAGTGCAGAAAACAAGTTCAAAGAAAACACCTCAGGTGTACTTCATACCAGTGGATCATGTTGTGTAGTTTTCCCAGTGCTCACCGATGGACATAACGTAGCAGGTTCTGTCTGGGTTCTTGTGAAAGTGATGAATTTACTAGCATTAGACAATGCCATGAGCTGTTTTTCCTCATGTTGCAAAACTGATGAGAGAGAAAGGGAGCAATATCGTCGCCTCAGAACTATTTTGTCGGAAGTGCCTCCTTACTTAAGTACACTTTGGACAAAATATTTCAGAGGTAACGATGTGGAGTGGAGAGGGAGAGAGAGAGGGGGGGGGGGAGAGAGAGAGAGTGTCTGTGATGTAGTGGTAAGTTTCTTTGCCATTAGATGAAAGGAGGGGGAGAGAAATAGACAGGTAGTAGATGAATAATAAACAAATGGACACTCAAAAGGTGCTTGAACATTTCTCAAATGATTTATACTTGCGGAAAATCTTTAAAAGTCGCAAATGGATGAAGCGTGCCAAAAAAAAAAAAGCAGTAAACAGTAATCTGCAAACCAGACAATAGTTATAACCCCCCTCCCCTTCAAAGAAGAGTAGATGGTCTGTAATTTGGGCATGATTTCTTCGTTGTCTGAATTACGCTTTTTCTGTTTCTCAGACGCCAGAGCTGGATGAAGATGGACCACTTGAGTTACCCTCAGACACACAAAGAATGATTTGTATAGCTTTATGTGAAGGTGAGATTTATTTTTCTTTTTCTAAATTGGTACAGTAGTCTCTACATAAAATGGCAGTGCTTGGGAGCAAGGAAATTGCAGGATCTTGGGTGAATTCATCAGGGGGAGAATCCTGGGTGAATCAGGCCCCCAATCAGTAAGATTATATCCCCTTGCTTTCAAATAAATTATTGTGACCCCTGAGTGGGTGCATGACTTATGGCGAGCAAAGAGTGGTTTACTTTGATGACCAGTCACAATGGCTATGACGTATCCACCGTGAGCCTGTAGATCTATGTCAATCACATTGCTCCTCCCCTCAACCTGTCGGGAGTGTATAGCTTTCCATATCTGACTAAATTATACCATTATACCAATTAAAATCAAGTCTGTCTTGCAAATTTATATGTAGAGATAAAAGACAACTGTGATGGTCAAGGAAGCTAAAGCCCTGAAGAGTTCACAGTTTGATGTGGCCTTGTAGGAACTACTACCCATACAGCATATGATGATGTAAGTTCAAATGATACCAGGGCGATGTTTGAGGAAAACAAACGGGTCGATGGGTTCACACTTCAGTGTGATCCCATCTGGGGCAGACATCTTACCCACTCAAGATTTACAATGGAGATCATGTTTATGGAGTAGATGATCTGTGATGCAATGACAGCAACTATTTGCTGATTTGTTGATCAGCTGGGGTCGTTCATGTTTTTGTTCGCTAAATTTCTTTCTAAATGCGGGATATTAGCCGAATGTAGTTCTTTGGAGGGGGTCTTAGGGGTAACTTTAGTGTAGTAAAAATTTATTTTTCTTAATTAAATCAGCGGCATCTTGAGTGAACCAGGATTGTTAGAGATGGGATCTTAGGTGGAGACTACTGTACTTGCAACTTTTATACCGCTAAGCGCATTTTTTATCCCTGAATACATATTTTTGCTGCTTTTGTGGCTAAGTCTGCGTACAGAAGAATTAGAATCGAATGATTAGCTGGACCTAAGTGTAATGCTGTATAGAAGACCAGGAACAGCAAATTTGCCAACTTCCATGTCAATGGTACCTTACAGAACTAAAAATTTCATGTTTTCATGATGGACAAGGTATGACATAACACACCAAAGGGATGAATTAAATTAGGGATGTTTCAATTCATGACATGATCTATAAATTGCCTCGGACATACTCTTGGTTCCAGGTATGACTCTGTACACTTTATTCGCAATACAGTCGAAATTGTCTAAGATGGCCATCCATTGTCAAGGGGAAAAGTACGTGTCCAAGACAGGTGGCTGTCTGACACAGTGTCATTATAATGTAAAAACTATGCGAGGGAGGAAATGGGAAGTGACTATTTGTTTGGGTTATTGTCATATACAGGTGGCCGTTAGATCAGATTTGACTGTATTTTATTGTCTTTCTCGATTTTCACAGTGATCAACGATCCTCGCCACCTAAACAAACTTAGTACTGGCATCTGGACATGCACTCTGGGGGAAAATGTTTGCACAAGATTCTTTTTTCTGTAAGTTTACGTTTGTTTTTTGTTTTTCAATCTTGTATTGGGCCTGAAATGCTTAACTAGACTGAAAACTAGAGATGGACATGGTTGTATCATACTTCATTTAAGGATAGTTAAACAGTATCTGTAGAAATCCATTTTTGTAAAGAAGTCTCTCTAAAGATGGAAACAAATGTGTAGTGTAGTACTTCATTTCTCTGAGTGATGAACTTGAACAAAGAGAAAAAAACTGCTAAAAGAAGAAAGAAAGCCTAGTTAATCGGTCCCTGTGAAGTCTGTGCTCGCCAAAAAAAGTCTCTCAACTGCACATTTAATACAAATTGTGATATTACTAAATGGCATTTGTACTGCACACTTCCATTCTCCAGAAATGCACACCACAGTCAAAGAGATATTGTATTTTAGAATGACTTGACAAGTATATATAAATATTTTTAAAAAATTGTCACAAGTGAAGCTGAAATTCACAATATGAATACTAAAAAGAATGTGGAATACAATAAAACAATAACATTCTCTCTCTCTTTCTCTTTCTTTCTCTCTCTCTCTCTCTCTCTCTCTCTCTCTCTCTC